TATGATTTAAAGAAACAGGTATAGCATTATTACATGATTTATATATTGCCAACCCAACCGTTAGAATTATATTCCTAACAGTAACTTTTAAACCATAGTTAAGCAAATTGCTTTAGCACAAAGATAGACAAGTTTTATTCCTCCAGATGTTGTTGAATTACAACTCAGAATTCATAGGAAACGTGGCTAGAGGATAAGAGGAGTAATTGGAGCAGTGTCTTAAAGATGTGTGAATTTCAACTGGAGGAATTCAGATGACTCTGAATCATGCCAGTCAGCATGCCGGCTGAGAAATTCTGGGAGTTGAAGTCCGCATCTCTTAAAGTTGCAAAGGTTGAGAAACATAGGCCCAGTGGTTGAAAATAGTCACCTAACATCTACCTTTGTCTTGGATGATTAATTGGGTCTTCTTTCCTCCATCCACAGGAGGACCTTGGGGTGGCGGGAGAGAAAAATAGATGGAAGCAGGTGGGACCTCTCTGGAAGTTCAACCCAAAGAGACAGAACCACCCCCAACGATTCCAGATGACTCAGAAATTCAGCCAGAGAGGAAAATGGCTGCGGCCGAAAAGCAGACCAATGTATCCATCGACAGTGAAGATGTCGGTCAGGTGATCCTAGCTGAGTCCCAAGCAGCAGTGGAGAGGAGACAGAATGAATGCTACACATGCGGGAAGAGTTTTAGTTCCAAATCCCGCCTCAAAGTCCACCAGAGGATCCACACGGAGAGGCGGCCCTATCAATGCCGGGAGTGCGGGAAGGGCTTCCGGCAGAGCGGCCACCTGTCCCAGCACCAAAGGATGCACACCGGGGAGAGGCGCTACAAATGTTTGGAGTGTGGGAAAAGCTTTAGCCAGAGCACCTATTTCATCTTGCATCAGATCACCCACACGGGAGAAAAACCGTTCACTTGTCCGGAGTGCGGGAAGAGTTTCAGCCACAGCCGGAAGCTGACGGTACATCGCGCCATCCACACGGGCGAGAGGCCTTACCGATGTCTGGAGTGTGGGCAGAGTTTCAGCCAAAGCACCCACCTGACTTCCCACCAGAGGATCCACACCGGAGAGAAGCCGTATCGGTGCGCCGAGTGCGGGAAGTGCTTCAATCAGAGCGCTCATTTGACTCTGCACCGGCGGAGCCACACGGGAGAAAAACCCTACCGGTGCCTGGAATGCGGGAAGTGTTTCAGCCAGAGCCCGCACTTAACTCTACACCAGAGAATCCACACCGAGGAGAAAATTTATAAGTGCTCCGAGTGCGGGAAGGGATTCCACCGGAGCGATCACCTGATCTCGCACCAGAGGAGTCACACGGGGGAGAAGCCATATCGCTGCTCCGAATGCGGGAAGGGTTTCAGCCGAAGTTCAATCCTGCATAAACATCAGAGAATCCACAGAGATGCAGAAACATCAGTCTGAATTTTTCTCAACGCTGAACTAGATGGGCAGAACTTTTGAGGGTCTCTGGTTGTTTCGAAGATTGCTTGACAGCTTGCGGTCTGGTGCCTAGTTAACCTTTTAAGCCAGGGGTCTCAATTCAGAAACTTTAACACTTGTGGACTTCAACTCCCAGAATTCCTCAGCCTGCCATGGGAATTCTGGGAATTGAAGTCCGCAAGTCTTAAAGGGGCTTCCTCCCCTCTGCCCCCAGAAGCAACTGGACTTGCTTGTTTTTCTTTGAAGACCTTTCACTTCTCATCCAAGAAGCTTCTTCAGCTCTGACTGGACGGTGGGGAATGGAAGGGTTTATATTTCTTGCAGACAGCTGGTCATTTGCATTTGTTTAGCAAGTTGGTTCAAATGGGTGTGTAGCCTTTTTGGAACTGTTAGAAGAACTGTGTTGTAGACTGGAGATAGATGATGTCGTATCCCTCCCTCTCTCTGTTGAGAAAAGGCTTGTTCAATTTTGTCATAGATGGCCTCTTTGACCCCCTTTTCAAACCAGCGGTCGTCTCTGCCCAAAATGTGGACTTTATTGTCTTCAAGAGTGGCCTGTGTCTTTTAAATGCAGATGGACTGCTGAATCTTGTGCTGATGAGTTTTGTTCTCCTATGTTGTGCTATCCAGTCAGAGCTGAAGAAGCTTCTTGGATGAGAAGTGAAACTTCTTCAAAAGAAAAACCAGAAGGTCCAGTTGCCTCTGGAAAAAAGAAAGCACCTTTGGGACAAACCATGAGCTGAAGGACTGAGAATCTCCATAGACAGAAATCTTAAAGTTGCCAAGTTTGGTGACCCCTGCTTTAGATGAAACTTGGGAGTGTTGTGGAAATGTTTCTTCGTAATAAGCATACTAGAATTATGATGAACGTGCATAGATTGCAGCAAAATATGAATTAAATGTGGAAATAAGGTGAGGAATAGAAATTGTAATAAAGCAATTTGGAAAAATTCCCGTGTTTTCTCCTTGGGTACCAATTGGCGGCATCATCTCCAGTAATTAATCTACCACATTCCCCCAAAATAAGACTGGGTCTTATATTAATTTTTGCTCCAAAAGACACATTAGGGCTTATTTTTCCAGTTACGTCTTATTTTGGGGAAAATACATTAAATGCGTCCATCTGGTTGATGATCTTAATGGGGTTATTTTGGGGGTAAATACATTATATTGCAAGCATCCTGAAAAATTATGCTCTTATTTTCCAGTTAGGTCTCATTTTCAGGGAAACACGGTATACCTGGTGTTTTTTGAACTTGCCCACTATAAGATGTATGGACTTCAACTCCCAGAATTCCCCAGGCTGGCAAGGAAATTCTGGGAGCGGAAATCTAGCCATCTTAAATGTTGCCAAGTTAGTCTATACGAAGTGCATCATGTGGACTCTTTAGGGAACTTGCTAGTTTAGGAAGCAACTGAAACTGGAATGAATAATTAAAAGAACTACGGTATGTGTTGGGAGGGGAGACTGGGAATTCTAGACCCGGCTAAAGCATGAAAGCCAGCCAGGTGACTTTGGGCCAATCACCAGGAGACTGTGAGTTTTAGACCCGCCTTAGGCATGGAGATTGACCGGGTGACTTTGGGCCAATCACCAGGAGACTGTGAGTTCTAGACCCAGCTTAGGCATGGAGATTGACTGGGTGACTTTGGGTCAATCACCAGGAGACTGTGAGTTGTAGTCCTGTCTCAGGGATCAAAGCCAGCTGCATGACTTTCAGCCAGTCCTTCCCACAGTCCAGCACTCCTCACAGGATTGTTTTAGGAAAAATAGGAGGGAAGAGTATTAGGTATGTCCACTGCCTTATTTACAAATAATAATAAAGGCAGGATATTAATAAATAAAATAAATGGTCTTTTCTGGAGTAATGTGATATGCAAACATCTTTAGGATTCAGGGTTTATATCCAATCTTATTTAATTTCTGAGATAAGACATATAAACGTATACACTTGGGGGCATGGACACTGCATATTGATAATGTTGCAAAGATTACGGATTGCAAACAACACAGTCAAAACCTGCACATTGGATTTAGGATTGGACTACAGACCAAAGGAGAACTCGTCTCAAATGGAATGAGTCATATGTCCTGAAATAGGACAAAGAAGCAAATCTGGATGGTTAGGAAGACACCAAAGGCCAAGATGGATGACAAGGCAGAAGAATTTTGGCATGTTAAGAGATCATTTATTATTTTTATTAACGCTCAAAAATAACGAAGAAAAACCAAGAGCCCAAGTGAGATGCGAAACAAAGCATATTCACATTGAAAGCAAAGCCAGAAAGCTGGGGAGAGAAGGAACCCCCCCACACACACATACACAAATAAGAGCATTACAAAAAATTTAAAAACAGGGGAGGGGGAAGGATTAAAGACCAGACAATTTGGATACTGGAGCAATATTCCAGAGCAGGAGACAAGATCAAGGAGACCTCTCCATTTCTAACCATGTACAATTCATACAAGTTGGTCTTGTTTATAGTCAGAAAAGTGGCTTTACATAAACCCCCAATGCGGTGTTTTTCAACTTTGAAGGTGGGTGGACTTCAACTCCCAGAATCCCCAGTGGCTGGTTGGGGAATTCTAGGAGTTGAAGCCCACCCACCTTCAAATTGCCAAGGTTGTGGAAGCACTGTTCTAATATGAGAACACAACTGATGGCTGATGGGAGGCAGCGTTCGTGGGGCGGAGTGCCAATCCCCCAGGGTTTAAATATTAGTGTAAATATCACAATTTCTGAAAGCATGGTGAAGTCCTTTTGATAATGTGCCCTTGTAGAGTATCCAAACTAACAGAAGAAGCTTGGGAGGAAGATATCACTTATACCTATATTAGATTTTGTAAGAAAACAGGAAAAAAAGAATCATTTTCTACTGCTGAAGACAGCATCAGAATATAGGAGCCTATACAAGTGCCACTTACATATTGATGTAATATTTGACATCGGGGTCAGCAATCTTTCCAGATTCCACAACTCCAAAGAGTGCTCACAAAATTATTATTTTTAAAAAAAACACAATGATCCCCAATCTCACAAAACATCAAGTAAATCATTCTACGGCAATCTAAAATCTTTTGTGATGTCTCGCAAGAATACGGAAATTTCATGAGATGCAACAATCAGTTTTTGCAGGCACTTAAAAAAAATTTTAACCAGTTATTTTCAGGTGTATCAACAGAAGAGAATATTTGTAGCTCAGGGGAGAACTGTGGAGTCCTTGGTGCTCTCTGAGCTTGGTTGTTTTCTTGCAGATGTTTCATTACCCTACTGTGTAATATCATCTGTGCTAGAAGTGGGTACATCCCACTCTTCCAGCACTGATGGTGTTACCTAGTTGGGTGAGGAAAGTCTGCAAGAAAACCACCAAGCTCAGAGAGCATCAAGGACTTCACATTTTCAGATGCACGTTATGTACGAGAGGTGGAAAGCGATCACTGACTTCATCTCTATTAAAGTCGTAGTGGCAGGGTGGCTTGAAAGCTATAAAACAAACTAACTCTGCCCACTGCCAGGAGTTCGATCTTGGCCGGCTCAAGGTTGACTCGGCCTTCCATCCATCCGAGGTCGGTAAAATGAGGACTCGGATTGTTGAGGGGAAATATGCGGACTCTGTAAACCGCTTAGAGAGGGCCGTAAAGCACTACGAAGCAGTATATAAGTCTAAGTGCTATTGCTATATTAACCCAGCCTGGATACTCAACTCAATTCTATCCACATTCACCCAAACTCTAATGATAGGGAGCCCTAAGCCACCATCTGGACAAACCAAGATTGGGGATGACACTTGGACAGGTATATACGGCTTAAGCTGTAAGTGAAACAATTTGGCAAGGTATAATTTCTGTGACAGAATCACCCACGTACACCCTTCCATGTCTGCACCAACAGGTTGAATAAAAATGCAAAAAAATGGCCTGCGCAATGAATTCTTGGGAAGGAAATAAGCATGAATGGGCTAGCTGGGGAATTCTGGGAGTTGAAGTCCACAAGTCTTTAAAAAAAAAGTTTGGAAATCTCTAGTCTAAAGGCACTTCTGTCCTACAGACGTCAAAATTTTATTTTTTAATGATTTCACTTCGCAAGGACCCCCAACTGCCTTCTTGAGGCAAAATTTGTGAGGAATTTTTGCCTCACGTGAGGAAAAATTCTTTCATGGAGGCATTCTACACCCTCTTCTGCAGAACTTCAGGACGCTTATAACTTGATTCAACCAGGTTTGGCCAACGCAAAGCTGATGTCTTATAAAACTCCCCCCCCC